ACACACACACACACACACACACACACACACACACACACACACACACAGGATTTACTGTGTGCGTGCGTGTGTGTCTCCTGAATGCGAATCCTGAAAACGACTTTTGTTCTAACTTTTCAATTTTTCTATTAAAAAATATAAAATAAAAAACAAATGTATATATGTACATACATAAGCATTAAATACAAATATTTAACAAACATAATAAATAATTAATTACTTTTCGTCTGATTCATTAATAACTGATCTGATCGTTCCCGATCGTCTGTATCAGTTTGAATCTTCTGATTTGTTATTGAAGTCACCTGATCACGGGCCCTTTAGCTGCTTGTTCTGGAGCTTTCGACCACAAAACATGGTCTTCTTCAGCCACAGTTGTCATGAAACTGTCGATGATACAAATCACCATTTTGTGTTCCATGTTGACCGAAAAGTTTTTTAACCTTAGAAATAAAAGCTGACGAACAAACAACCCCCACTCAAGGACCTCTTACTGAGGAGCTTTCGCCCAGAATCACATGGTCTTCATCGGCAGAGACGATCGGTGTGAAATAAAAAGCACCAACAGTGTTTCTGACATTTTATTCTTGTATCTCTAAGAGGAAACACGTTCAGTATAAAATCATGTAAACGTCCCAGAAACCTACTCAGTAGGTACGTGTTCATGTGCTACATGTACTCATATGTACACTCATCATCAACGACGTCTCTGTACATTCAGGTAACATTCTCTCTCCTTATCTCAGCACTTTTCCCTCTGAAGTTCAGTACGAGGAGGTTTTAGTTCATGTCTTCCTGTACGGTGGCTGAAAAGGCTCAAATATAACCAGTAGCCAGTGAGTAAAAACATCCAATCAGGTGCTGACCTCGCCCACAAATATCAGACATCCGGTCAGATACGCGAGTTTGGTTTTAAAGGTTCAGAGTTCAGTCCGAGACTTCCTGTCTGTCAGCAGACGCTGGAGCTGAGGAGCTCCGACTGAGGACTCCCCACCGGAGAGGAGCAGGAGGAGGAGTAGAGGTGGGAGGACTGTGAGGAGGTGAAGCAGGGGGAGTGGAAGAGGGAGGTGGCGGGGTCGGGGGAGGGGGAGGAGTAGGAGGAGCAAGGGGAGGAGATGGGAGCAGAGGAGGAGGAGCAGCAGGAGGAGGTCTTGCGGTCCCGGTGCTTCTGGTGGATCTTGGCGTGCCGCTTGCGCTCGTCGCTGCGGGCGAACTTGCGTCCGCACTCGGTGCAGGCGAACGGCTTCTCGCCGGTGTGCGTGCGGATGTGCGTGGTCAGGTGGTCGCTGCGGCTGAAGCTGCGCATGCAGATGCGGCACTGGAACGGCCTCTGGCCCGTGTGGACGCGCACGTGACGCGTAAGCTCGTCGGAGCGGGAGAAGCGGCGCTCGCAGCCGTCTGCGGGGCAGGCGTACGGGCGCTCGTGCAGCGGCGTCTTGCACTTACGTCCACCGGCGGGGGACCTCCTGACCCGGCCCGGTTTGGCAAGCTGGTGGGCCTGGTGGGCCTGGTGGGCGGAGCCTCGAGGCTGGATCTGCGAGGAGGAGAAGGCTTTGATGGTGGAGAGCGGCGTGAGCGTCGGCGGGTTCGCCGGCTTCTGGTCCTGGAGCGGGCAGAGCTCGCCGCCGTGCGAGAGGAGGTAGTCGGGGAGCATCTGCACCACCTGAAGGCCAAGCCTGGAGGCCGGGTAGGTGGGGGGGGGAGAGTCGGTGGCGGAGTGGGGGGGGAGGTCGGAGCCGCCGCCGGCGGCGGACGTGTAAGTCGGAGTCGCGGAGAAGACGGAGGCAACGTCGCTGGAGCCGCAGCTGATCTGGACTGAGCTGAAGCTCGGCGGGGATGACATCACCGATGATGTCACCGACGATGTCGCGGGGGGAACGCTGACAAAACCCGTGAACAGGCTGAGGAGAGGCTCCGCCCACAGGCCGCCGCTGGAGGCGGGCTCAAAGCTGAAGCGGCCGCTGTAGGCCAGAGGGGGGAAGCTGTGCAGGTCCAGGTCTGACAGAGAGTCTGAGGGAGAAACACAGAAGAAGAAGAAGAAGTTATCACCTGTCTGTGAAACACCTGAGACACAGCGCCGCTCTGATTGGCTGCAGATAAAGATGACGACATTGTTATAACTTCAAGTCTCATTTAGTTTGTGACAGAGAAACAGGAAGTGTTCAACTAATAAGATATATAACATAATACATATAATATATTAAATATAATATATAATAAGGACACAGTCTAGTCTTTATATTCTAAGCACATCATTGTTATGAACTCCTATAACATATATAACATATAACATGTTATTGCATTCACTGACCTGTAAAACTGATATTAAGTTTAGGTGTTTAATTATTAATCAATCATAATAAATAATCTATTATCTAGCCGACAACAAGCAACATTTAAACAGCTTTAAACACTTTAAATCATGACAGTTCATTCCTCTTCAAATGCATTAATAATAATAATAATAATAAAGTCAGGACTTTCACTTTTCTCTATGAATTATTAAACGTGGGATAAACCTCCTCCTCTAAACCTCCTCCTCTAAACCTCCTCCTCACCTCCGTACTCCCCGGGCTCCACGCTCAGCAGCCCGGCTCCCTCCGCCGCCGACGCGGCCAGCAGCGAGCCTCCCGCCGCTGCGTTCTGCAGCAGCATCTGCAGCTCCTCAAGCTTCGAGTAGTACCCGTCCAGCGGGGAGGGGGGCGGCGGGAGTCCGGCCAGAGGGTTCGAGACCTGCAGGGCGGACACGGCCATGTCTCCGGAGGAGGAGGAGGAGGAGTGGAGCTCCGGAACACCGAGCTTGTTCCTGCGGGAGGACTGAGCTGATGAGCCCGACGGAGAGGCGCTCTGTCCGGGCTGCTGCTGCTCGGAGGAAGCCCACACTGAGAGGGTGGAAAGCTCCGGAGGTTAAGATAATAATCCACTTTAGATGTTTAGTGCTGAGTCAGCACCGGGAGAGTAAACAACGTTACCGGGCAGGTGTCTCCACGTGCTGTTGAACTTGAGAGTGTCACTTTCTTCACGAGGATCTCCGGCTTTATAAAGACTCCTGCGTGACGTACGTTCCCTAATATGGTGCGGAGGAAAGCCCATATTTGGGCAGAGTGGTGAGCGCGTGCAGCCCCGGTGAGCGCCCCCCGCCGCGGCTCCTGCTGCTGGTTTTTGGAGCGTGAACGGATCCGGTAAAGTCCACCAGACTCCCGGTCCGGATCTGACGGACCGGACTGCAACCGATAAACGGAGAGCAGAGAGCCGCCATGACCGGAAACAAGCCGGAGACACGTCACGGCTCGGATCAGGTTCTGAGGCCTGACGTCATATATGGAGATCAGCCAGCACGCGTCATCACTTCCTCGAACCTTATTTGGGTGTTTTTCCGGTCGGACTTGCTGATCTGAGAGCGAAGAGGAGGCGGGACCTCTTTGACTAAACACTTCGGAGGTACAAGTACTCTGTTCAGTACAGGTACAAGTACTCTGTCAGTAGAGGTACAAGTACTCTGTTCAGTCGTGACAAAGCAGGTACTCTGTGCTGAAATAGAGTAAAAGTACCACAGTCTAAAAGTACTCTGTTAGTAGTAAAAGTACACAAATACTATCAGATTCATGTATTTTAAGTAACAGTAGTAAAAATTACTACCAGTGTGTTTGTGTTGATATGTAGAATAATACATTTAATATGATATATATGTATATATGTATATATGTATGTATATATATATGTATATATGTATGTATATATATGTATATATATATGTATATATATGTGTATGTATATATGTGTATGTATATATCTGTATATATATATGTATATATGTGTATGTATATATCTGTATATATATATATATATGTGTATGTATATATCTGTATATATATATGTGTATGTATATATCTGTATATATATATATAT